AGTGAAAAAGTCTACTTTTGTATTCCATTTATAATCATATTTGCCAACTGATCTCATCTGTCTGATCTACGCAGCTCACAAGGCGGGCTGTGGAATTCATAATTGAATCGAATGCCTTAATTTATGGATTTCTTTTATGTAGTACGAATTTTTATAGAGCATCTTGCAGAAGCCACATTTACATAAGACACAGACATGCTTTCTCCCTTCCTCTCTCTCCTCTCTCTCTTTCTCTCTCTTTCTATATGTATGTGTGTATGCTACTTATGCATGGGTTTTATTCATGCCCATTTCCTGTGTGCCTTGTGTCTAACCCATTGTTAATTGTGAATGAATTGAATTCGAAGCGAATGCCATTCAATATACCCCCATTTGGCATAGAGTCGAGACAAGTGAATCAGTTCTATAATTTGACTAATTCTAATGGATTGCAATGAATCAACTTTGGAGTTCTTATGCTAATTTCAAGTGCGTTACGCCCAGGCAATATTGTGGGCAGTCTCTTGGCGATCAAACAGCAAAATTATGTGTGTATAAAAGCGAATGAGCTATGTGAGGGGCGATTCTTTTCTTATTGCCAGAACATTTTGCATATGTTGTTGATGGTCAGTTAAAGCTTGGAAGTCAGCTCAAGGTTGTTCGCTGTTGTTGCTGTTTCTGTTGTTGTTGTTGCTGCTGTCGTTGTTTGTTCATCAAATTATATAGAGCTACCAGTCGAGCTACTCGGTATCCTGTGTATCCGTTCCTGCCTGCGGCACTACCCAGCCAACAATTGGCTCAAAAACACAAAAGGTAGACCCGAAGACTCTCCACATGACTGACTGGAGAAGAGTTTCAATGCTCTATGTTCAGTGTTCAGTGTTCAGTGTTCAGTGTTCGAGCTGCCTGTTTGTCCGTGTCGTCTCAACGCGTCGCCTGACATCGTCTCTCTTGCTCCATGGCCTCCTCTGGTTGATGTGCGTCCAGTCGGAACGCAGCCAAGAGCCGAGAGTCGTGCCGCCAAGTTTTCGAGAGCGCATTGTAGGTAAACACTCGCGCCTAAAAATAAAAGTATCTATAAGCTCTTGTCGTGCAACAACTTGGGCAACCACTTTGCAGGCAACTCGACTCGACGCGACTCGAATTGAGGCAGCTGCAACGCGTTTCGATTAGTTGCCACGGCGGCTGTCTGTCAGCCAGTCCGTCAGTCCGTCCGTCCGTCAGTCAGTCAGTCAGTCAGCCAGGGCCTCATGGCCAGTCCAGCGCAGGTCGGACCAGACAAAAAGCGACGCTGACGTCGCTGCTGTCTTGTTAATTTTTTGAGCTATTTATTTTGATGTTTTCGCTTTTACGCTCTCGTTAAGTCGCGCCAGACGCAATGCCAAAGTTCCACCAACAATTCTCGCAAAATACATACAATAAAAGTATGAAAAGAACTAAAAAAAAAAGAGAATAACAGCAAAAGTTAAAACCAAGAATGAATGTTCTAGCAAAGCCTGCACGACTAGCAAATACCCTGAAGTCAGGTGCATATAAACTTTTGTGATTCCCTGCAAAATGCGGCTGTCGAGGAGCTGGGGCAGGAGAGGGAAAGAAAGAGTAGAGCATGTTTAGACTAAAAAACTGAATTAACTATTTTAATGTCTCTAACACTTAAAGACCCAAAGATCGACTTTTGTATTATCAGATCTATTATATAAATATATATATATAGGCTGGATATCCTGGCTAGATATGAATATGTCTGCCTCTGCTAGCTGTTGCAGGTGCACAAAACTCTATATTTAAGCCCCTCTTTTCGTTCACATTTTAAATGGGTGCCGACTTTTTATATATAAAAGAAATATGTATAGTTAAATTCGCTGACCAGCACGAACTGCGACTGCGAATGCTCAGGCTGTTCTTCTTCTTGTTCTCTGTGTGTGCAACGTTGCATCACGAGATAGTTAAAAAGATATGCATAAAAAATTGGAAATGCTAATTAATATGTTTTGCACAGCAGATACGATGCGATACGCGAGAACTGCAAGTGAATCTGTTTACATAAGCGTTAACTGCACACCCACCACATATTAAGATACACACACACACACACACACACACACACACACACACATAGACAGAGGCAGTTGGATATTCTCGCAATACACAGACAAATTAAATTAATTTTTATTAGGCGTCAAGCCATAAAGAACAGCTGAGCTGAGCCGACGGCTGTCCAAACGGAATGAATGGGAAGCTCACATGACAACGCTTTATAATTAAGAACAATGCCGAGTTATTCAAATAGAGACAGAGAGTGGGACCCAAGAGAAAAAGAGAGAGAGAGAGAGAGAGGGTAATACAAAATAGAGTTGTAGAAACTCATTCATGTGGACTCACGAATTCCACTGCTATGACACATATTAATTGTAATGGCAAGCTTTTCCTCAGCTACCACACGAGATCCATTGAAAACTATTCACATTATGATTGGAACCTTTCACATAGATCATGACTAAGAGGCTTTAGATTAAGCACTCTATCAAGTGCAGCCCCGCTAGATGAATGATCCCCAGTCATTTCGGCAACCGAACTACGAGGATCTGAGCTTGAATTGCCATGCCAATCAATGGATGATTAATTGTCTTTAAATATGAACATTATAATAAGGTGAATTAAACTAATATCGTATTATTTCTTTTTTAGTATTTCTTCTAGTGTGCTTAATACAGGTGAATATATAGTTCGCATAACTTTTCAATAGATACAACTGCATATTTTTCTCTTACTTCAGATTTTATATTTATATGTACTACAAGATGTGTACTGTCGATTATTAAAAAATTAAAAATAAATTATAAAATAATATGTAATTAATATCAATACTATTCACAGAATTAATACATAATCCATGCACAAAAGGCTCTGCTCAATTATACTCAATGAATAATATTCAAAATATTTACATATGTTTTTTTATTATACAAGAACATTTTTTTGATAAAAAACAACTTTTTTTCAAATTTTTGTCAATGTTCAAAAATTTAGAAAAGCAAATAAAAAAGGTTTGACTATAGGGAAGTCGGTTAAATTATGTCACAGTCAGGTTTCCTGCTGAAGGTTCTCAGCCGATACTCTCAGATACACTCTGATTGTTGATAGAGACACTTATGTACACACAATAACGATTTAAGGCAACCAATTTTAGGGTTGTCTTTCGATTGTTCGACAATACGCTGGGGCATTCATTGTCATTGATAAAGAGCAAAAGCAATTACAATATAGCGAATAATTTTCGCAAGCAGCGGCAGCAGCAGCTGCTGGCAATGTATCTATAGATGCCATGAGTCATAATGTGACTGGAAATGGGTCTCAGATCGGGTCTGTGAGTGTGACCCAATGAGCAATATGCACCTACAACAGCAACACTTGGGTCTTGGTTGGGCAACAATGAAGCCCAAGACAAGCGGAGCGATTACAAAGAAAAATAATTTGCGCAAATTGTGAGGCAGAAATGAACTCCAAATCGGGCAGAGAGGGAGAGAGAGAGAGAGAGGGAAAGGGGGCGGGGAAAGAAAGAACTCAGAATAATAGCAGCGATCCGTCATCGCAGCAAATGTTACTGAACTCGACTAATCTAATCAAATCAAATCAATGCTGGCTGAGACGCCCCTCATATAGAGTTACCGTGCCCGTAGAATACATGCAGGAGGAGCACTAGAGATCGGGCATATTGTGCAATCGAAGGACCTAATCCCGAGTTTTGTTGTAGCACTTCCTGGCTTACACCCAACTGGCCTGATCGATCGATAAAGGGCACAAAGGAAGGCAGCTACGGCAGGAACAAACAATTGAGAAGGACGACGCTTCTGCCGTTTGTAACAAAATCCTGGCCAAAGATACAAATACGCAATGAAATGTACCTGAGCCAAACACGCCAAGATGTTTGCACGGTCAACATTCAACAATTTGTAGGCTACCTGCTGGTTGAGGTGTGGGTTTTCCTGAGAACAGGCCGAATCAGAGCCCGGCTGCTAACTGACAGATACGCATCGCTTGCACTGCGACTCCGTCTGCGACTCGATCTGGGCATGTGTTTGGTTAATCAGCACCTGTCGGTGCAACGGCGTCAACAGGTACACAATACACGAAGAAAAAAAATGTTAGCGGGAATCGGAGTAAAAACATTTTGTTTTTGGGAAAGTTTGAAAGTGTAGCTCAAGTCATATGGGGCGATCATCCAAAGAGATCTCTGCCTACGTGCCAATCCAAAAGCATATTGAGTAAGCGCTCTGGCCAAACAAAAACAAAGCGCAAAAGAAACCAAAACAGATCGCCAGCTCGCCAGCCGGACCGCTGATTGAGAGCAGCCGGTCAGGTCCCGCTGATCAGCGATCGGCGATCAGTTGAGACCCAAGCCCAGGCCCAGGCCCAGGGCCAGAGACAGGCCCATGCCCAGGCCAGCAACTGCTCTCATAAATCAAGAAAAATCAGTCAATTTTTTATGTGTGTACGTATGGCGCGTATATCAAACTGACATTGCCTGAATTAACAATTGATTTCAATAATTTTTTATTATTATTTTTGCTCTCGTCGCTTAAGCCGCTGTTGCTGCCGCTGCCGCAGATCAGAGGCAAGCTCTCACGTTAACACTCAATGGTGCTCAAGGCAATTCAGCACCCAGCTCTCTCGCCCTCTCTCTCACTCTCTCTCTCGCTTTATTGCTCTCGTTCTTTGTTTAACGCTCACGCTGAGGCGCTGAATATGAAACTCACTCGAGTTGAGTTTGGCTCAGCTGGACAGAAAGAAACTCGTCTAACCGGTGTGACGAGTGTCAATGTCTCATTGGAAATTGTTCGTTTGGCGTTGACGCTCAACGAAACAGACAGGGGAGACACCATGCACAGTGGAGCAATCTATTCGACATTTGAGCGTTTATAATTGAGATAAGATATTTATCCAATAGTTTATAATCTTATATAAATTTTAGTTTAACAGGTCAATGTGCAACTAAAAAAATATTAAACTTATGCACTTACCCAAATATAAGTTCAGAGATTTCACCTTTTCAGCACTAAAATTAACTGTTTCTGAAGTCCGTTTTATATTAACGTGTGTAAGATCTGAAATCAGCAAAATAAATCAAAAATTTAATATTTATGTTTAAGTATCTAAAAGTACTTTTATTATTTAGATACAAATCGGTTACCTAGTACATAAGCCCTAATTTATCTAGTTAGGTGGATTCGCAAAGAACTCTAAACCATTCTTGTAATTATATATCTTTAAGTCCTTATCTTTACTTGCAGCTTCTAATATCAATATCACCTGCTTATCTTGCGATCTCACTTCCTCATCTTGTCTCAGCTTACAGCAAGGCATTTCCTACTCTCACACGCAATATCTGTTTGCCTTAGTTTTACAACCCACAGACTCTCACACTCGCACACACTCGCATTGATTGCATTGTAAACATTTAGCCCACTGTGCAATGCATTGCGTTGTGCGTTCGCCTTTGCATTGCATAGTTTCGCTTTGTTTGTTTTGCTCACCCTGCGCTCGCTCTCTCAATCGTGTTGTGCACCCAAACGCTCTCAGTCTTTGTGTGCGTGTTCACTGAGTGCTCGCCCTCGGGGCATAAATTGAGTGAGACGAAAAACTCACTCAATGCTCGACGCTCGCTCGGGGATCTCAGCGGCACTTGCTGCTCTTTCACGTTTACAGTGTTCGATCAGTTTTTGAGCAGACTTTGAGACGAACGCACGCGTTGTCGGTTAAACGAAACGTTACGAATCGAGACGCTGTCGCGTAATGAAGAAGAGTCGCAGAGTGCTTGAAAGTTATACGAAAAGATATTTATCATAGCTAAAAAACAACGCGTATCGCACCCCCCACTTGGATTACGGTCAGCGCGAATGAGCTAAGAAACAAGAAAATTGAATTTGAAAAAGAAAAAGATATATACATATATCATAAAAATATCAAAGAAATCAAGAGCTGTTTTTATGTGTTGTGTGCTGTGTTTTATTATTATTACATCTAACACACTGCTGTGGATTGTGCAAGCATCTATAAAAGATCTACAAAATATCCACAAAATGGGCTGCATATAACGGAGCAACTGCAGCCCCCAAAACAAAAACCCAAAACCCCCAGCAAACAAAATACAAACAAAATATAGGAGACAAAAAGCTAGCCAAGTCAACTAGTGGGTTTTCCAGCTAGTTTAGCTAGAAATAAGCCAAATAATGCTGGCTAGCCACATGCTCTACGTGCTCATCGCCAGCTGTGTCATGCCCATTTTTGGGGCGGCGCTGAGCAAAACAGTTCTGTACCAGGCGCCCGACGAATGCCGCTGGTCCGGCGGTGGGGAGCACGACATAACCCTGGTCTGCCATCTGCGGACCATCAACTCGGAGCTGGAGAACACAAATTTCAGTGTGATCCAGCCGCACAATACGGTCCGCCTGCGTCTGGAGTGCAACGATGCGCTCTTTTTCCAGAGCAGCCTCAGTCCGGACAGCTTCCGTTCGCTGGTGGAGCTGCGGGACCTGACCATCGAGTACTGCAAGCTGGGCAATCTGACGGAGGGCTCCTTTCGCGGGCTGCACGAGCTGAGGAATCTGACGATACGTACACACAATGGCGACTGGTCGACCATGTCGCTGGAGATGGCCTCCAATAGCTTTGTAGAATTCCGGCAGCTGGAGCGCTTGGACTTGAGCCTGAACAACATCTGGCTGATACCGGACGGCATGGTCTGCCCGCTCAAGTCGCTGCAGCATCTGAATGCCTCGTACAACAAGATCCAGGACATAAGCAACTTTTACTTTAGCGCCTCGCTCAGCTCCAGGAAGTCGCGTGTCTGCGGCTCGACGCTGCAATCCCTCGACTTGAGTGCCAACAAAATGGTCAGCCTGCCGTCGGCCATGTTATCGGCACTGGTGCGTCTGACCCACTTGAACATGGCACGGAACAGCATGAGCTTTCTGGCTGATAGGGCATTCGAGGGTCTGATATCGCTGCGCGTGGTGGATCTGTCCGCCAACCGCTTGACCTCGCTGCCCCCGGAGCTGTTCGCCGAGACGAAGCAGCTGCAGGAGATCTATCTGAAGAACAATTCGATAAATGTGCTGGCGCCGGGCATCTTTGGTGAGCTAGCCGAGCTGCTGGTGCTCGATTTGGCCAACAACGAGCTCAACTCGCAGTGGATTAATGCGGCCACCTTTGTGGGTCTGAAGCAGCTCGTCTTGCTAGATCTGTCCGCCAATAAGATAAGTCGCCTCGAGGCGCACATCTTCCGGCCGCTGGCCAGCCTGCAAATACTGAAGCTGGAGGGCAACTACATAGATCAGCTGCCCGCGGGCATCTTTGCCGATTTGGGCAGCCTGCACACACTGATTCTTTCCAACAACCGCATCTCGGTGATTGAGCAGCGCACGCTGCAGGGCTTGAATAATCTCCAGGTGCTCTCGCTGGACTATAATCGGCTGTCCCGGCTGGATGCGCGTGCCCTGATCAACTGCAGCCAGCTGCAGGATTTGCATTTAAATGATAATAAGCTGCAGGCAGTGCCGGAGGCACTGGCTCATGTGCCGCTCCTAAAGACACTCGACGTGGGTGAGAATCTGATTGCCCAGATCGAGAATACGAGCATTACCCAACTGGAGAATCTCTATGGGCTGCGCATGACGGAGAACTCACTGACGCACATACGTAGAGGCGTCTTCGATCGCATGAGCTCGCTGCAGATATTGAATCTGTCGGGCAACAAGCTCAAGTCCATTGAGGCGGGTGCACTGCAGCGGAACACCCAGCTGCAAGCCATACGCCTGGATGGCAATCAGCTGAAGGGCATAGCGGGTCTGTTCACGGACCTGCCGAATCTGGTGTGGCTGAATATCTCTGGGAATCGGCTGGAGAAGTTCGATTATTCGCACATACCTTTCGGGCTGCAGTGGCTGGATGTGCGTGCCAATCGGATAACACAGCTGGGCAACTATCTACAGATGGAGAACGACCTCAGTCTGAGCACCTTCGATGCCAGCTACAATTTGCTGACTGAGATCACGGCCAGCTCCATACCGGACAGCGTGGAGGTGCTCTATCTGAACGACAATCTGATCAGCAAGATACAGCCTTATACGTTCTTCAAGAAGCCAAATCTCACGCGCGTCGATCTCGTGCGCAACAAGCTGACCACGCTGGAGCCGAACGCGCTCAGATTGTCGCCCATTGCGGAGGATCGCGAGATACCCGAGTTCTACATTGGACACAATGCCTACCAGTGCGATTGCAATCTCGATTGGTTGCAGAAGATCAATCGGGAGTCACGCACGCAGCCGCAGCTCATGGATCTCGATCAGATCTATTGCAAATTGTCTTATGCACGCGGCGCCACGCATCTATCCCTGATCGAGGCCAAGTCCAACGACTTTTTATGCAAATACGAGTCGCATTGCTTTGCCCTCTGCCACTGCTGTGACTTTCAGGCCTGCGACTGCAAAATGGACTGTCCCGATCGCTGCTCCTGTTATCACGATCAGTCCTGGACCTCCAATGTTGTCGACTGCAGTCGCGCCAGCTACGAGCGCGCCCTGCCCTCGCACATACCCATGGACGCCACCCAGCTGTATTTGGATGGCAATCACTTTGCGGAGCTGCAGAGCCATGCGTTCATTGGACGCAAGCGGCTCAAGGTGCTGCATCTGAATCACTCGCGCATCGAGACCCTGCACAATCGCACCTTCTACGGCCTGCTCGAGCTGGAGGTGCTCCAGCTGCAGAACAATCAGCTGCGCGCCCTCAATGGCAACGAGTTTCAGGGTCTCGACAATCTGCAGGAACTGTATCTGCAGCATAATGCTATAGCGACCATAGATACGCTCACCTTTACACATCTCTATCACTTGAAGATTCTGCGGCTGGACCACAATGCTATTGGCTCCTTTGCCGTGTGGAACTTTCTGCCCAGCTATCTCAATGAGCTGCGCCTGGCGGGCAACCCGTGGAGCTGCCGTTGCGAGTTTATTGACAAGCTGCGCGACTACATGGGTCGGCACGAGTACGTCCGGGATCGGCAGCAGCTGCGCTGCGAGTTGCCTGGCAACAGCAGCCAGCAGCAGGCGGTGCAAATGGCCATTTATGCGGCAGCTGGGGAATCCCTGCCCGTGGTGCAGTGCAGCCAAACGCTGCAGCTGGGCCTGGACAACAGCTTCAACTATGCGGAACGAGCGGGCGCTGCCGGCGAATCGGCTGGTGGGAATATGACCTCCACCAAGATGATACTCACACAGCCGCCCAAGCAGGACTACATACCCATTTTGGTGGCCATTCTGACGGCCTTCATCTTCATTATGATCTGCACCCTGCTGGTGTTCATCTTTCGACAGGAGATGCGCGTATGGTGTCACTCGCGTTTCGGCGTCCGTCTCTTCTACAACGGGCAGAAGGATGTGGACAAGAATGAGCGCGAGAAACTGTTCGATGCCTTCATCTCGTATTCCTCCAAGGATGAGCTGTTCGTTAACGAGGAGCTGGCGCCCATGCTGGAGCTGGGCGAGCACCGCTACAAGCTGTGCCTGCATCAGCGCGACTTTCCCGTGGGCGGCTATCTGCCCGAGACCATTGTCCAGGCTATCGATAGCAGCCGACGCACCATTATGGTCGTCTCCGAGAACTTCATCAAGTCGGAATGGTGCCGTTTCGAGTTCAAGTCGGCGCATCAGTCGGTGCTGCGGGATCGCAGGCGTCGCCTCATTGTCATCGTGCTGGGCGAGGTGCCGCAGAAGGAACTGGATCCGGATCTGCGGCTCTATCTGAAGACCAACACGTATCTGCAGTGGGGCGACAAGCTCTTCTGGCAGAAGCTGCGCTTCGCCCTGCCCGATGTCAGTTCCTCGCATGCCCAGCGCTCGGGTCAGCCCTGTCATGCGCCCATCAACCATCCCGCCTACCATCATCACCATCATGTGCATCAGCAGCAACAGCAGCAGCAGCAGCAGCTGCCGTTGCATGCAGCGCATCCCGTGCCGCATCCGCATCATCATCAGCAGCAGTTCATGCTGCCACCGCCGCCCCTGCCTCTGCAGCCGGGCAGCTTCCGGCGACAGCCTTCCA